ATATAAACAATAAGGGTAGAGTTAGTCAATTTCCTAAAACTTAGGGGTACTTTTAGAAAATTTTCTATTTTGAAATCACTTATTTTATCAAAAACAATTTAAATTGAAGTTGTAGAAATTAATAGAATTGTGGCTTATGGTGTTTTATCAAACGATGATCCTACTAAAATTGTATGTGGAGAGCCATTAGGAGTAGGATGGGTAGAAGTGTGCATTAAGTTTGTATTCAACCTATTAACATCACTAATAAAAGCATATAGACACATTAAAACCTTGAAAGATTTTGTGCAATTGAAAATTACTTAGGTAAAAGATTATATAAATATTTTATTGCTATATAAACATCTATATTTATTTATATGATTTTTACTTAATGTATATTATTCCTTTTTCATATAATCTGTTGCATATTAAAGCAAAATTAACATGCAAACAATATTTAAGGATATTTGATTATTATTACTACCTTTTTAATACACTTAAACTAAAATATAAATATAAAAATTTAAATATAGTTTTTGTGTTATATCGCATATATATATATATATATATATTCAACATGAAGCAAATAAATAATATTGTGATTATTATTAATTCATATAGATCTTATTTACACGTCAATCGACAATAAGATTGTGTTGGTAATTGTAAATATGCATGTGGATTAATTATTGTAGTCATAGTCTATATATTGAGCAACAATAATGTCACTATATCTGCGTTTTGATTATATAGTAGTACTATTTGATTGTCACTAAAGATACTCAATATTTAATCTCTCCTATTTTGAGAGATATTCATCAAAAGACACATTTTTTTCTTCTTTCCTTTGATACTCGTCAGCTCCAAAGAGATCAAATACTAAAAACTCCAAATTATCCACTACTAGAGGGCAAATTAAGAAGGAAGCTTGTAAAGCAACATGTTAGAGCTAATGTCTCTTGAAGAGCACCAACCTAACCAAAGAACCATGAAGGAAAACGAAAGAAACAACAAAGAAGGAAATGAAAAAAAACAAAATGAAAGGCTTAAGATTAGAAAACTCCTTTAACATAGCTTTTTAATTCATCTACTTATAGGGACACATTTTCTAGGAATACTGTTGGAAAATAAAACCTATTTAGGGCCCGTACCTAACAACTCAATTAAATTGAACGGTTATTTAACATGGTATTAGAGCATGTTTGACCAAGTGGTCTATTATTCAATCTTTACCGCCTCTATTATAATTAATTAAATTTCAGCACAAAGTATGCATGGTCCTGTGCTTGTCCATGCCTCAAGTCTAGTAGGCTTTTACATGAGAGGACATCTTAGAGAATAAAAACCTATTAAAGGATCTCACCGGACAGCCTAAGATTTTAGGTTGAATGGTTCTTCAATAAATATCAATGTTGGCCATACATTTTATGTGAATACTAGGAAATGCGAAAAAAAAAAAAAAAACTGAACCTAGCCCAACTCAATCTTAGGTTTTGGGTTGGGTTTTTCAAGCCTTTGGTTGGGCCTAGGCTTAATTATAACTTATTAATATGTGGCATGCACCATATAATCTATAAAAATTAAGTAAAAATCACTATTGTGAAGACATGCAATTAGGGCAAGTGAGCATTCCAAACTTCTGGTAACAATGACGATTAGGGGCGTAATTTGGGCAGGCTTGATTGAGATTTTGTTAAAATTTAAAGAATAAATTTCTTAAACTATTTTTATGGTTTATTTAATTGACTAACTCTATTCTTACTATTTACATATTGCCTTAGAATATCCTTATCTTTTCTGACAATTGTTTAAAACCTCCTTGCCATTAAATTCATTTGCGAAAGGATGAAAACGATTATTTTACCCATTATTTGCTTCAAAGTAGTTTCACAATGCTTCGTCAGTCTTTCCGTGTATATCAGAGAGCAAGAACAAAAGTAAATCTGATTGTATTGTTTTGCTTTTTCTGAATAAGAGGAAGATTGAAGCCAAGAAGGAATGATCAAGTTTGGTGTGACCATGTGGGGTATACCAGGCTGTCGGAGTAAAGCAAAGTCTAAGCATTAAGCAGGCTATCAGAGTATAGCAGAATCTAAGCAAGTTGTCAGAGCATGGATTTTAAATTGGCAAAGCCATAGAAACTACAACACATGAAGCAGGAGGAGACGAAGTAGTAGCGACGATTTGAAGTTTGGGATCCTCTTCCAAATTCGAATTGGGAACCCATCAAACATGTAGAGGGTCTCCTGATACACCCAGAATGACAAAACAGAGGGGAGAAAAAAAAAGAAAAGCTCACCGTATGTATTTTGCAATGACCTTCTCCGTCGAGTCGGAGAGGTTCATGTTGACAAGATCAGAAAGCAGCGACATATCGAAAACAAAACCAGGAACACAACGAGACTTCTCGTGTATCGAAATCAAAAAAGAAAAGCTCTCTCTCTCTCTTCTTCCCCTTCGTTCTCTCTCAATCCCTTCTTGTGTATCGTCATACAACTTCTCAACATTGTCAAGGTTTAGAGTTGAGCAAAGGAGATGTGACGGCGATTGGTTTTACAACTGTTCCATCGGTTATCTCCGATAAAGCCCATTTCAGTACAAGCGAAGAAAAGCCCCAAATCGACTCCTTCAAAGTTCTTTAGTGAGATAAGCTCTCCAAGGAAGGAAGCATAGTAAATTCACAGGGAAGGAGAACAAGCACCCACGGAGCGGATCCGATGGCGGTGTAGCAAGGTTAGAGTGGATATAATGGGGGTATGTCACCGTTCGCTGCGTCAATGGTGATGCTAATTCCGGGGTTGGCCAGGGCTTTGATGATAGACGCCGTACCGCCTGACTTTTCCGATCTATGTGGATTGGAGCAGTTTTTCCGTCGCCGCTGGTGGGGGAAGGTTGTCGGCGACTTGCCCATAATTCACATTGATAAATGGCAGGGAGTTTGCACAGGTAGGAGGTTGTTTCAGCGCAGAGATTCCAACTTGATTATTCGTTCAAGTAGGAAACCAGGTGCTGAGTACCAGAACTTCTCACGCTACACCGAACCGAAGCCTTTCAAACCCTTTCTGGAACGAGGACATGATGTTCGTCGTCCCTGAGCTGTTGGAAGATTATCTTATGGTCTTTGGCAACACCATTTCCATTGGAAGATCTTGGAATCTCATCTAAGCTCACTCTAATCGGAAGCTCGGGTTCAGTTCAGTTTGCAAAGTTTTAATTCACAGCGTCCTTGGTTTTTTTAAGGCATGAAGAAAAAGATAATATTGGGTTTTAAAAAAATTTGATAGGTTATTTGATGTTCACATGTGTACGGAGTGGAGTGTGACGGAACGTTAATGATAGGGGTAAAATTAATCAATTGTCCGAAGATTTGGAGTACTCCAAGACAATATGTAAATAGCTAAAACAGTGTAATAGCTCGGGCCAACCGGAATTACACCTTCGAAAACATGCAAAGATTAAGGAGAGCACCAGTTCTGTTTAAAAATGTAAGCTATAGACATGCTCCAGTAGTATTGTCTATTAAAGATAGAGAGTGCAAATATTACCTCTTGACCTGATCCGAAGAACAGTACTCTTTCCGGCAACAAACCAACCTACCTCTGTCAGAACCAAGGATCAGCAACCAAAATGGTTTTTGGGTTGCGTTTTGACTTGGTCAAAATTATGCAAAAAACATGTGTTAATAGAATTTACATCTGCTGCAACTGTGGCCACAGCACTCCTGCAATCCCCCAATGAAATATGAAGACGTGAGCAATGGAAATTAAAAAAAAAAAACAAAATTACATTTCATTTGATATTATGAATTTATAACTATCATCATGGACTCGTCACATTTCATTGGAGGTTGGCAAGGGATGGTCACAGTAGATGTTTGTCATGTTAATAGATTTTGTAACCTCTAATATTTATTATTAGATTAGGACTGCCCTCAGTCCACCTGTCCCAGTACCCCCCGATAACTGAAACCAACATTGGATAATAATGGCTTTTTTATGTAAAATAGTTTTAAAAGATATTTTGAAACATTTTACCTTTTAGTTCTTTTGTATTTTTATTCAAGTGAATTGAATATGTTTGGTCTGAATCTGAGCACATTGCTCCCCTCCCACCATTGGTGGTGAGAATAACATTGTAGTTCAATGGAAGCAAGAAACTCTCGTGTGGTAATCCTGAGATCAAATCAGCCTCCCACCAGACTGCGCCTCACAACATCCCACAGCACATCCCCACTGTGTATTGGAAACATCTTCAAATGATGACATCATCATTTCTGGTACTATCATGGGAAAATGTTCCCAATACACGGGCCAGGATGTGCTGTGGGACGTTGTGGGGCGCAGTCTTGTTAGGGGCTGATTTGAAATTGGTAATACAGGGACTTCATTTGGAGTACTCAAAGTTTAATGGTATAGTCCCTTGTCATTGGGCCTATGGTGGCCTTCTAGGAGATGTGACCTATAGGAGTTGTAGGCTACACATGGGTAGTTTCTTTAGGGGATTTATGGACTCAGTAATGCTAAGCAGCTGTAGCTGTACCAACTTGATAATAGAAGACAGCTGGTTGATTTAGGTCAATGTTAAAAGTATAGTGTCATATATAGACTATAGAGTATCAAAAAGACATTTTTTAATCGACATATCAGGATATGCTTTGGAAATGCATGAATATGCTGAAAAAACTAAGATGCTCATAGCCACATTTTCATGTTCAAATCCTAAAAAAATACATCAATAACACTTAAAAATCACCATCATCAACATCTAAGTCTTGTCCCAACCATATGGGGTCAGCTACATGAATCCTGTTTTGTCACTCCATTCCGTTCGGTGCCATATTCATTGTTAAGTTATGGATGCTTAAATCACTTTTTTTGTCCAAGATGATAGAAAGAATTCCTTGTTTGTGTGACTCTGGGATAGTTGGAACTTTTCAATTACATATTCCATTCTGTTCTGTTGATTCTGTTCGATGGTGAACTTAATGAAAATCGGTAGTCTCTTTGGGGGAAAAAAGATTATTCGAAAGGTGCATTCTATTTCAAAGGTAATATTCAAACTATCTCTGAACACTAGGAGATAAACTACCCAAAAAGAAAGTCTCTAGATAGAACATATATTTGAATACTGCTGCAGTGTCCAATGCATTTCTGTTGCAACCAATCTCTTCATTGAAATCTCATCATCACGTCCTAATATATACTCATCAGGTAGAGGAGAAGGTAGGTTCCCCACAAAACCATCAGGCACAACGCAAGGCACTTGAGCACATAAATGGTTAGTGGGACTCCATATTTTAACATGACCACTGAAAGAGCCTGTAGTCCAGGAGTCAGCTTTTATGCTCGAGTCCTTGACCATTTTTAAACAAAAGAAAGAAGACTCAGATCACTTGTAAGCCTTGCCTATCCAAACGAGACATCCTGGGAGATGAATGAAGTCCATGCATCCTACAATCACAACAAATATCATCATCAGCTGAGACATGCTTAAATTACATATAGTTAACACAAAAGATGAACTACAGTTTCACTGGCGTAAAAAAGAATAAAAAAATAAAAGAACAAAAAAAAGCTACAGTTTCACTTGATACTTGAAAAGAATTTTGCCCATGCTTTGCTCTTTTTCTATAATCAGAGCTAGAAGGTACCTGGAGGATGGCAAATGCCTTCTCTGCAACATATTTCTGTGGGAATGTTATACCTCTTTGTTGCAATTTGTCTGGGTGAAGACACAACCTTACTTTCTGGTATGCCTTCTTTACTTGTGAGGCATCTCTCAGCTCAATTAGTGGGATTGCTTGCCATCCACTATTGGGCCATAGAATCTGAATTTGAAGCCAATCAACTTGTTAATATAACTCTACATGAGATCTTAACAGATTCACAGAAAGAATTATTAGAAACATTATGTATTACATGATGCAGTGTTGAGAGCAGTAAACGAATGTTTCCTTCCTTGCCTGCTGCCCATAGCCTTACTTCTTCCTCCAACTGCTCCATCTCCGTCTGTTTAAGTTCATTTGAAATGCAATGAAGACAAAACAGTGATCAATTTATTTGGTGTTTCTTGTAAAAGGTTAACATGATCAAAAATAAATTTCAATTATGTTACACATGACTTAACACGTCTCCACCAAAAATGTTGCTCTGACTGATTCCAAGTGTTCTTGTGGGCATTTTCATTGTGATGTTACTAGAACTGATACAACAATACTAGTATAGTATGAAAAGTTTGGCTTTAAGCACTATTAACGAGCTTTGCGATCATTAGTTTTTCTAAAATCACACACATAGAAATAGACACAAGTAAGAACACATATGTAATCTAATGTTCAGGAGAATCTTACATCACTTTGGAATTGCTGATTCTCTCCTGATTCTGTCCATTTAGTTGGTTCTTCCTCACTCTGTAAACAACTAGAACAAAATAAGCACAGTGTACCATTTCTTTTGTCTTAAAAGTCATGGCATTAGTATCACGAGGAAAAATATGAAAGTTACAAATCATGTTTTTTTTATCAATAGTTACAAATCATATTAGTCAAAACAATGGTATTTGGTTGACACTTGACAGGTAATGGGAAACCATATTGTGATTCCCGCACAGCACAGGCTACAAAGAGTTCCATTCCAATGGTTTAACCTAGGGAGGACAAAATCAATTTTGAGTTAAGGATGTTTGATGTGCCCTCTCTAAGTATTACTGTCACTAGCACAGCTTTACCTGTTCTGCTTTGATCCAATTATTCATAGTTAAATATATATATATATATATATATTTCCTTTCCAAAATAATCAGACAACTTACCACAAGTGGTTGTATTCTTTCATTTCCATCCATTTGCTGATCCAAACATTCAAGTGAATTCCTCCTTCCTGTCAAAAGGAGAGGGATAGGGAGTGTAAGAAAGGTCTCTACAACTCTTGCTTGGAATTATAAATTGAATATATTAGAGATATTACCCCCCCTTTCAACAGATGACCCTCTCTCTTTGTGTCCAAAATTCTCTTGCCGATTGCCACCTTCTGAATCCTCTGTTCTTTGACTGAAAAACTTCTCTTTCGCCCATGCAATTGCTTCATCTATAGCTACTGAATCACCAGTCCCTTCCCTTTTGTCAGAAGTGATTTCAATAACATATGAGCTCACGATTTCTTCATCTTCATGCTCCACTTCATCTTGAAACAACTTACCTTGAATCCTGGCTTCAGCATCTGGACCTTGACAAAGTGAAGACACTACAGAAGAGGGAGAATCAGTCTCTAGATCATCCACCGAGACCTTGATGCTCTGATATGACTTGGGTTCAACACTAACAATTGTTTCTGGGGATGAAACCCGTCGTGAGAATCCAAAGTTTGAGCTCTTCAAAGTGTCAGTGAAATCTTGTTCTGTATACTGGAAATCCGTGTATGAAAGGTGAGTGCTTGGAGTAGCTGATGTCCCAGGTTTTTTTTGTTGCTCCTCGATCATGGCTGAAGGTGAATTTCGTTGACAACGGACATTGATTGGCCTGACATTGATGGAGTAATTAGTAATTAGGTCTTGATGATTGGTTACTTGTGAACATATTATTTGAATCACTTTCTCCTTCTGAATCCCAATCCACTTGCGGTTGGCTGAGTTCCTTGTAAAACAATTCCCCTGACTCAACATTGTTATTGGTAACTTTGAAGAATTAATCAGACGCCTTGACTGATCTGACTTGTTTGTAAATCACTTATTTACTTCCATTATTATTATTTATAATTATAGGAGGCTCAAAATGTTAATATAAATACTCAAGATAATTATTCAGATAGGATTTTTTTTAAATATATTTTTGTATTCATTGTATTCTATCTAATTAACATGACTTGCCATTAAGTTGTTTAAATTGCATTTTTAAATGTACTAAAAAAAATCAAAAGCGATTTGAATTTCTGAATATTCTAGTAGTAACCATTTTTACAGACATCCTTGTGTCTGCATTTTATTAAACATTTTGTGAAATTTTTTGGGATACTTTTCTTGCAGTTTCACCTTTATGTTTGGCATATTTCTATTTATCCTTCCATGTCTGGGGAGTTTCTGTTTACCCCCTTCCATTTGCCATAAATCTTTGCACCTTTTTTCTTGATGTCAAGAAAAGAAAATTATCTATTAATAAGAGAGTTCACAACAGCAGAGACCATGATCACCAAAAAATCTGGAAATTGCCCAATGAAACACAGACATACTAGCAATTTCATCAAAAAGCAGATACCCAATTTTTTGAATTTAAAACAAATGGGGATAGTTGGGTGGTGACATAATTTGCTATGGCCATAGTCATAGAAGACATGAGCTCTTAGTTGAAAATACTTATACAATGCAATAATTATTAAAGTAATAAAAATAATTAAAGTATCTATTATGATACATTCTTATATGGGAAAGTGTAACTTCTTATTGGCTTAATTTAACATAAATTAAAAGATTCAATACAGGACATGGACTGATCAAGAGTTGGGTGTGTCTGTGTGTATGTTAGAGAGAAAGAGAGAGAGAGCTGTCTCTCTCTAACTTGCAAGGTGCCTCCAAATTAACAAGATCTAGCCACATAATTAAATGGGTTCTTCCATGGAGATCAATGAGGTAAAAAATCAGCTTAAAATATGATAAAAAACTGTTTGTTTCTACTGTGTGTATAAAAGTCATCTTGATACTTCTATTTTTGGTACGGGCATTCTGGTAGATTGCATTAATCCAGTGGCTGAATTGATCTTTCTAAATATACATGCTAGATGTAGCCAGTCATGGGAGCCTCCTGATAGTCCAAAGACACTGACACTGTAGAAATCATTCTCTAAATGGATCATCTAGACCACTTTGCCAACCATATTCCTCTATTTCAAAGATCTGGCCTGCAGGGTGATAGCAGAGACTATGGATTGGTCATTTAGTTAAAGAGATTAACATCAGATCCATGTGACACCATTCCCCAATTAATTGTCTATGTTTGGGAGTATCAAAATTTGTAACTAAGGCTGTGTTTGGTTGCAATGCAAATAAATTTGCACTGATGCAAAACCATGACAGTGCAAATGATTTAAATGGAAATTCTGGCCTATTTATGTTTCAAATTTTAACTTATTTTGTTTGGTTGCAGTACAAGTAAAGTAAATTAAGATATGAAGCAGAATAGAGTAAAATCCAAAACAAAATTAAGTGAGAATTTGCACTCCCATGCATTTGTACTAGTGCAAATAAAATTGCACTGCAACCAAACACAGCCTAAAGGGTCTTTCTCTTGTCCCATGGCAAAGGGCCTCAGACTAAAACTAGCCACATAATTAGATAGTGATAATGACAGACACATGGAGCCTTTTTGGGATTCCATTAAAAATCCCACATGGAAGAATTTTGGGTTGTCGACATCTGACTCGTCTAGCAAACCCACACCCATTGCAAAAAGGATTTGGACAATACACACCAAGTTTTGTCATAGCTTCTTCTGTATCAAAGGAAACATCCAAAATGAGATTATTTAAAAGAATACATAACGGGATTTAGATATTTCTGTTACAGAATACTTACAAAGTAGTTCTTTGGGTGGATCTGGATATGATACAGGAACAGAGTGAATTATAAGTATCTTAAAATCAATTGACCCTTGTTCAGTTCAGTGACACTAACAGGTGTTTGGTGTTTCTTCAATTGAGTTGCATTCAAATAAAGAATCTTAGGTAATATACAGGATAAATACAAAAGGCCAAAACACAAGAGGCTGATACAAATAAGCCTAAATACATGTGGCAAACCATTTGTTTTTATGCTCTTTGTTTTTCCTCATTAAGACCAAATCAACCAAGCATCTTTTCTTCATTTCTTGGTAATCTAAGCTCTGAGGAATTTGAACCATAAACCATCTGAGCAGTAGTATCTCATGAACAAATACAATTGGGATTTGGGAGTCAGCTTTCAGCATTCACAGCCAGTGACCTGGTTGGTTGTTGTAGCTCAGTTTCCCGTGTAATCATCTCACTGTGGTTTGATTGGATGTTCTGTATGGGCCCACTTATTGAATGATCTTGATTTACCAATAATTTGCACTATTCATTTTAGCCTTAGAGCAAGCCTTGTCTATCTAAAATTAGAGCCAAACATTAAATCTGCTTAAATTTATCTAATGATCCACAGAAGGGTGATTCTTCTTTGGCTCCAATCTCCATCAGGGTCTGGGCTGCTGACCTCGAGTAAGACAGCCCCCAATAACCGTCTGATTGGAATAAATGGTGGGGACCCGCTTACACACTTCCAATTCGACAGTTACAGAGTCAAATCTCCTGTATCTTTTATGGGGGCCTTTTGGATGGCATTCGATAATCTAGATTCCTCTTTGATCTCTAGCTAGAATCGGAGGCTTGAATCAGGTATTAGATTTTTGAGAGGTTAGGAACCTGAGAGTTTGGACTCTGGGATTTTGGATTTTAGAATCCATTCCAAGTCCTCCAGGCGTACCTAAAAATAAGGATTTTCGTTTGGGAAACTCACAAGGGTAAAATGGTCATTCGGTTCACCCAATGGCGTCCCACTCCCGCGGTTTTTCAGGTTGCAGAGACTGGAATTACTATTTAACCCTTTAGTTTAAGGAATACAAGTGCTGTAAATGAAATGAAATGGAAGGGCGAGAAAGTCATATTAGCAGCAAAGATGAGAGCACGAAGTAACGGTAGTAGTGAAGTACCTGAGCTTCGACGCGAAGGAAGAGAAGACGATATCCTCTGCAATGGAAGGACGGAGAGGACTCAAATCCTCCGAACTCAACACCGAAGAAGAGTTCGATTTCGACTTCGATTTCGAGGTCGGTTTCGACTTGGACCGCGATCTCGGCCTCCGATCCTCGTCGGATCCGAATATATCATCGTAGAAACCGTCAGTTCGCCGGGAAATTCCAACTCCAGCTCCACCAGTACCCCGACGAGAAGTCGGGATCCTGAAGACCGGCAAGTTCCGGCCCCTGTTAGCCGGAGTTACAAACTCTGGCGACTGGAAGATCTCCTCATAGAAATAATCCACTCTGTTTGAGAAACTCCCAGAAAACTGGCGGGAAAAGATAGTTCTGGGGGGACCTCCAAAGACATCGTTGAAGTCCTCGGGGTCAAGGGTGTCGGAGTGAGAGCTACCAATACCAGAGTAGCTTCGTCTCAATCGATCAGCTGAAGTCTCCTCCGTGGATCTTCTCCTGGGCACGTTGAACCCCATTCTCATCCTCCATGATTCGTCCATCCTTTCCGGCAGCCGGAGAAGGTCAGGCTTAGGGTTTGATCGCCGGAATCTGGCGGAGAAGTGGCGAGAGAATATATAGATACAACGGTAGAGAGTCTAGAGACATGAAAGAAGAAGAAGAAGAAGAAGAAGAAGAAGAAGAAGAAGAAGAAAAGTTGCCTTTTTTTTTTTGAAAAAGCGAATTTCTTTTTCTTTCTTTTTCCTTTTTATTTATATTTATTAATTATTATTTTTAATTTGTGGGGATTTATTAATTCCTATGTAATGATGAGTAAAATCCACGGGAGTAATGTCAAATGACTCAAATCAAGACCGTTGACAGCCTTGCTGACCTGGAAAGATGTTTGTGTGGATGCTGAGCGCTCTCAGGATGAATCCATCGACTTTTTCTGGATTTTTTGGTTATTTATTTATTTTTTAAATTTTAAAAAATATATAGGGAAAATGACTGGAATGATGATAGATCGCGCCTTTGGTCCCCGGTTTTGTAAACCAGTGATGATTCAACGAGCGCGCTCTCACGGAGTAAGGCATGAACGTGTACACGTGTTTATTGCTGGTTGGCTGAAAAGTTTTGAGCCAATGAATGATTAACACGTAGAGATGCCAATTAGATTGTGCTCATAGAATTATCCAAATGGCGGTTGTAATAATTATTAGAGTAAATTAGGGGGTAGTGACACTTTGGATCCGCGTCACATGCACACATCACCGTGCATTGAGAACATTTTCCGTGAAAAATTATAGGGAGAAGTACATATACACACGATGCAGAATTCTCAATTCCAGCCCCCCTACTATCCCTCTCCCCCTATAAATCACATCCTGCATTCCCCCTATACTTTGGGGCTATAAAATTTTTATCTGAGCTGATTGGTCATTCTTTCAAAATTATAAGTACCCGAGATGTTTTCAATGCATGGTAGGATGTGCCTAGGCACATGTAAGATGCCCTATGTGAGGAGCAGATTCGGTATCATTTATAAAACCATTTTTCGTGTTAGCTCGTGTCCTAATCATCAATTTAGGTTTGGGTGATTCATCTCAATTGAGCTCAATAAAGAGATCGGATCTGCTCCTCACACACACATCTTATCATACATTGGGGACATCTCCCGTACTTATTAGTTATAATTCATGGGAGATATTCCCAATGCACGATGGATGTGTTTAGGAGGCGCCCATTTGTGAGGAGTAGATTCTGTCCTCAATAACGATATAGCTATAAAAATGAAATGAAGATTTCTCTTCAACTTATTTTCATCACCGGACTTTTATTTATTTTTGCTAAGCAAAAAGATATACCTGTTATTTGGTATGTACCTAATAATGGGGGTAGTACATTCTCACAAATTACATAAAATAGATATACCTAAGATCCCAAGAAGAAAATTAGTGATGAGGGCAGAATCCAATGATATTGTGACATATGGCACCTCAGAACAACTAGGTGACACCCGGAACTACTTAGGCAACAACTTGCCTTGGCCAAGTTGATGGTGTCCCACCTGGCAGCGTGTTCTAGGTGCCAAACTGGCGGCGTGGCCCAGGCGTCGAACTGGCAGGCGCAAACTGGCAGCCTGACACAGGCACCGAACTGGCGGCCTGGCACGGGCGCCGAACTGGCGGCCTGGCCCTGGCGCGACCTGGTGGCCTGGCCCTGGCGCAACCTGGCAGCCTGGCACAGGCGCGAACTGGCAGCCTGGCCCAGGCGCCGACCTGACGGCCTGGCCCTGGCACGACCTGGCAGCCTAGCCTAGGTGCCGACCTGGCGACCTGTGAGACGTGTTCGCCGACAAATTCGGCATACATATCCTAACACTCCCACGATCCTTGGAAGTTGGCCCACGTGTCGAACGATCCAAAGGGTGGTCAACGTCTATGGCAGTTGCCTTAGGGAATCTCGGACCACTTAGACGACTTCTCGAAAATCTCGGATGCGGTGCGTGAAGCCCACGCCAAACAATGCCTATATAAAGGCACCAACCCCAATGGCATAGGGGGGGCAAGTAAGCATATTCTAGTTCTCATACTTTGTGATTTTTAGTTCGCAGTCTACTATGAGAGTACTGATTTAAGCATCGGAGTGACGTCACCGGTTTAGCCACCTCGGGTCCTCTAACATTGATTCCTTGCAGGTCTCTAAAGAACTACAAAGCTCAACAATCAATCCAGCTCGCCACCAGGCAACTCGACACTCTGGTCAGTTCGGCAACTAATAGGTAGCTCAACACTAGTCAACTCGGCACCTAACCTGCCCCCAGTTCGGCCTGGTCAGCTCGGCATCTAGGTCCTCATCCAGCAAAAGTTCACTTCGGCCTCTGAATCATCGGCCCTTGGAAACAAACCAAATGACGAGGTAGTTCTAATAATCCATGGGTTTACTAAACAGTTATATGTGCATAGATACAAAGAATAAAAAATAATAGGAAATTAAGGGTTGTAGGCTTGAAATTGCCACTTTATGGGTCAAGTAAATAAATATGACTACTCGTATCTGTTATTCATCCTTTTTCCAATTTACTAGGTTTTATTTTCAAAATTTGACATTTTATTATAATATTTGCCTCTTTGCAGCTTAATACCTTGAGGTTATATTTGGTTTGAAGGAAAAGGTAGGTTTCCTTCAAACCAAACATAACCTTAATTTTCATTGAGAAGAGATAATAGACTTGTACACATCCTTTCTTATAAAGAAGGCACAACCCTAATTATTAGTTAAATCATGGTTTTCAAAATTGGATTGGATTGGACGATCGGATCGAAAAAAATCGAGAAATAGCTATTTTGCCCCAGAACTATTATTTTCCTAAAAATTGTTGATTTGGTCATCAAATCGTTGACCTAGGTGGTTGAACTGTTCAATGGTTTGACTGTTTTTTAATTTTTTAATTTTTTGTTAAAATTGGTCATTCGTTTGATTTAAATGGTCAGAATGTTCGACCCAGAACCAGACCCTAACTGGTTTGATGTTCGGTTTGATTTTAAAAGCCTTGAGTTAAATCATAGATGATTTAAAATGCAAAACTATCCCTATATTGCTTTTTATCATAATAAAGATGAGTCTTTTTATCTGTTCCTTGGAGATGTGCCTCAACTAGTATAGACATCCCTCTTATGCAAGGGATGTTAAAGAGTATATAAAATGCACTTACAAGTCCCATCTCTTCATAACAAAAAATCAGGAAGGCATATAGTTTTTTCCATCAGTCCTCAAATTTAATAATAAATTAATAGAAGTATGAGAAAAAATAAATAATATTTTTAACCATTATAATTATAATAATAGTAAACAAAAAAGTGACAATGATTATAAGGACAATTCTTACAAACATGAATTAACATCTTTTAGCTGTATAACATGATTGGAGTAGTTAAGCCAGAAATAGTAGTCTAATCAATTGTCATAAAACCCTGATTTTACAAATATTAAGGTCCTGGAATTTGGAATCTTGGGTCCATATTATATGAAAGAAGTCATTGCTCTGTCAATCATAGCCACCATGCTCGTTTTAAAATTGTTAGGATTTGTTTCTTTCAACTAAGTCCTATTTTACATAACTTGTTCTAGTACAATTCATCATAAAGTTCTTGTTTGGTTTTGATCATCATTACTATTTCAAATTATTTCCTGTTGTTTCACTCTTTAATATGGTCTTTTTTGATTTATTTTTGGTTTTCCTGTTACCACGTACATGTCACTGATCAATTTTTAGTTCTTAGACAAATACATTCAGCTTACATCAATACAGCAACCTTGATGGAACCAGTTCGGACCCATGTGGCAAAGCTTGACTGGACTAGCTGTTGGTCTAGTTTTCAGGGCGTACGTGGTAATAAGAATATAAGATATGGAAATCAGGCTTTATGATTTCTTTAATTCTAATATTGAATTGAAAATTTCATTATTCTTTTACATTCTCGGGTTGAATTACAACAATTTTTCTTTCAAAAAAAGAAAATTATATTATAACACTCTTATTTTTCTCAATTGGTTGAAAATTTTCTTAGTTGGTAACCTTGCAAAACTTTCCATCATGGTTTTTGAACTACCATTGACCCAGATGGTCAGACCGTTCGGCCTAAGAATCGTCTAGGTAATCGGTTCCATTTTATCCCAAACCTGGCCTTTGGTCAAAAACCATAAATCGGTCAACAAACCGTTGATCCGGGTGATCAAACTGTCAATTCATTCAATGGTTTCTGGCTGTTTTTAAATTTTAATTATTTTTTTATTTTTTTTAATTTATTTTATTAGAATAGATCGTCTGTTCGGACTGGATAGTTAACCATCGATCCAAAAATCGATAGTCAAAATGGTTCTGATTCCAAGTCATTTTTTAAAACATTGCTTTTCATAGAAAATGAAAGAAATGGAAAGTTGAAAAAAGACCAAAAATTTCCCTCAACTTTCTGTTTATCTTTTATTGTTATCAAACCAAACATAGCCTAAATGATTTAGGGCATTTTATATAATAGCCTTTGGACTATCAAACCAAACATAACCTAAATGATTTAGGACACTTTATATAATAGCCTTTGGACCCTTGGTTAAAAGCTTTATCTTCCACATGAGAATAGATAAGGATTTGTAAGCAACTAAATGAAGTTTGGCCCATCTCCCAATAGAATATGATTATTCTAGGGGGACATTTTGTTCCATCTATTTATTCTTCTAAAAAGATGCTTGCATTTTGCATATTTTCCATGCATATGTTGCCAATAATCTTGTTTTTTATTTCATTTTTTGTTTTGAGAAAATGCTATAAACAACGAATTTATGCAATTCTTTTGTTACTCCGCCCTACAGACAAGATGGGATCGAGGAAATGACCTGTTCAACTTTTCCCTAAAGTTTGTCTTCTCATGGGTTCCACCATGTATGTAGGGTAAAGAATGCAAGTGGCATGAATTTGTTGTTTACTGGCACTTGATATTTTATTTTTATAATGCCTTTGTTTCACACATTATTAACATTATTTCCCCTTCAACTCTCCAATTTTATATCATTTTTCTAAATTTCATCTCATCAACCTTTGAAAATCAACAAAATTTACCCTTCCACCGAGAGTAAATTTTAGAGTTTTAAAAATCTCATCAACCTACATAATATATTTATTTATAAAAAAAACACAACATAATATATTA